GTCGGGATGGGGGATGCAGTCCAACTTGGAGTGGGGGAGAGGCTCGAGATGCAGTTGGACGTGGAGTGGGGGGAAGGCGATCGGGAGAGGGAGAGAAGATACTCGCAACGGGGGCGTGTCGGGATCGGGATTATGAAGGGAGAGTGGCTTGCGGGAGGAAGAAATCAAGGCCGACGGGATCGGGCGAGCATCCAACGTGGAGTGGGAGGGGGAGCGATTGGGACGGGGGGAGCAGAACTGGTGAGCAGGGAGAAGGGGAAGCCGGGACGAATCTGGGCCCGGGGGGAAAGAGGCGGGGATGTCGGGATCGGGGATGCAGTCCTACGTGGAGCGTGGGAGAGGCGATCAGGAGAGGGAGGGAAGATACTCACGGAGAAGGGCGGGTCGGGACGAATATGGGCCAGGGGGAAAGGGGCAAGGACGTCGGGAACGGGGATGCAGTCCGACGTGGAGTTGGGGGGAGGCGATCAGGAGAGGGAGAGAAGACCCAAGAGCATCCGACGTGGAGTGGACGGGGGCGCGATCGGGACGGGGGGGAGGAGAAGGCCGGGGGGGAAAGAGGCGGGGACGTCGGGATCGGGGATAAACAGTCCAAATTGGAGTGGGGGAGAGGCGATCGGGAGAGGGAGGGAAGAAACTCGCGGGGAAGAATATGTCAGGAATCGGGGGGGGCGTCGGGGGATTTTGAAGGGAGAGTGTCTTGTGGGAGGAAGAATCAAGGCCGCCGGGATGGGGTGAGCGTCCGACGTGGAGTGGGACGGGAAACGATCGAGAAAAGGGTGGAGGATGCTCGTGGGGAGGGGGGTGAAGACCGTCGGGATCGGGGAGAAGGTGGGGACGAGGGGAGCGAGGAGAAGTTTGGTAGGGAAGAGGGAAAGGGCAAGGACGGGACCTGGCTCTGTAGTTCTACCTGCCAAAGTTCCCTTTTGTAGATGAGCCCGATAGCCTGTTGATGTCACAAATGCAGGCTGCCTCCTCTAGGTGCAGTCATGATACATGTCCATTACATTACTTACCACTGGCTGTAAGGTAGGTTAGCAACACAGAATATTGTGTTAGTCATGCTGGCAGAACCTCTTCCTGCGTAAGTGAATTAGGTAGTTTACCGGCATCATAATGACTGTCATTACAAAGACATGTTGTTTTCTAGCTGCAGTACTGACACTGGAGCATACCATCTCTCACCAATGTCTGTCAGATAGGCAGGCTGCTCAGGCCACTGCGTACCTCTGCTTGCCGAACCTCACTCAGAAAGGTAAGCACGGTAGCTAGGTAGCTTGGTAGCTTGCTGTTGTCACATCTGCATGTTTGGTTGCATGGGTAAGTTCAATGTTCAGGGACGCTGGACCCGATTTCCAGCAGGTGCTGCTCCCCACCAATAGATGGAGCCTCCTCGGCGATGCTAGCGGTGTCTGCTCTTACCAGCACCCGTAGCCTCTGATGGGCTGTTCTTCAAAAAAAAAAAAAAAAAAAAAAAGGGGTAGGCAGGGAGAGGCAGTTAACGGAGACCCAAAATTTCAACATTTTTTAATGCTATTTATAAGAAAACCAGAAGGCCATAGAGTGCATCATTCCATAGAGTGCAC